AGCGCCTCCCTCCAGCCCCACGGCAGCAGGGGGCAAGAGGGAAGCAGTGGCAGGGAGCCCGAGCCCGGACCGGCAGGGCTCCAGGCCGCAAAGGTTCGGCAAAGAGATACCAGCCGGGAAGCAAGCAGAAGCCGCCCGAAGTCCGGAGAAACCCCACGACCGGAGGAGGTATCTAGCCCTTTTTCCCTAGCAGGGTGCCAGGCCGTGACGGCGACAAGCCCCGTGGAGCCGAAGGGGATCCCACGGCGACGAAGCAGCCTATAAGGGAGGGGTCCGGACAGAGTGACCCTCTGACCCTGGGGAAGTGAAGACGCATGGGAGTACGGGAGGTCCCAGACATCCTTCCATCACGCCCGCGGGGCAGGAGGTGATCCGACCACGGCAGGACTCTCGGACTGGCGGGAGCTAGACTTTGGGGGAACAGGGACTGGGAACTTGGCGAGCCCCAGGGCATAAGTAGGAGGGTTCTGGTCATAGCAGGGCCTCCCCAGTATAGGAGAACCCTACTACACCCTATAGGCCTAGAGCAAACGGCCAGAGGGTAGGGGAGGGCCCCTCCGTGAACTGAACGTGGGCTCGCCCTGCCCCACAATCCTGTGGGGCTAAGAGGGAGGGGGGTGGTCGCCCCCGACAATGCCATTAGCCTTCTTGCTACAAGGGCACACTGTTGACTCATATCCAGCTTCTCATCCACTGTAACCCCCAGGTCCTTTTCTTTAAAACTACTACTTAACTGGTTGGTCCCCAGCTTGTAACAATGCTTGGGATTCTTCCATCCCAAGTGCAGGACTCTGCACTTGTCCTTGTTGAACCTCATCAGATTTCTTGTGGCCCAATCCTCCAATTTGTCTAAGTCACTCTGGACCCTATCTCTGCCCTCAAGCGTATCTAACTCTCCCCCTAGCTTAGTGTCATCCACAAACTTGCCGAGGGTGCAATCCATCCCCCTCATCCAGGTCATTAATAAAGATATTGAACAAAACCGGTCCCAGAACCGAACCTTGGGGCAC